ATGGCGCTCGAGAACTGCCACAAGTCCTCCTCGCGTTCCCAGCTGGCCTCGTCATCGAGCTGATCCTTCCACTTGACCAGGTACTCTGTGTGGTTGGGAACTCCCCGTTGCCGAATGACTCGATCAGCTAAGATCTCACTCACTTGCTTGTCATACGAGGTTATGGCCGTTGGTGGCGCTCGTTGTGACACTCCTCGTGCTGGATCCTCATGGTTTCCATGGAATGGCTTGAGCAGGCTCACATGGAATACCGGGTGTATCTTTAGCTTTGGTGGTAGATCGACACGGTAGGACACCTTTCCTACCTTTCCAAGAATCGGATAGGGTCCCTCGTATCGACGCACCAGCCCCTTTTGCACTTGTCGATAGGCTTTAAACTGCTGGGCTGGTAGCTTCACCATCACAAGGTCGCCCACTTGGAATTCCAGCGGCCGTCGCTCTTTGTCTGCCCACTTCTTCATCTTTTTGGAGGCTTTATCCAAGTAAACTTTAGCCACGTCGAGCTGCTCCTGCCAATCTTTTGCCCAGTTATATGCGGCAGGACTTGCACCAGTATAGCCTCGCGTCACATAGTGAGGTGGCAACAGTTGTTGGCCTGTCACGATCTCAAAGGGGCTTTGTTGGGTGGCCTCACTCCGCTGCAGATTGAAGGAAAATTGTGCCACGTCCAACAATTTTGCCCAGTCATGTTGATTGGCACTTACAAAATGCCGCAAATATAGCTCCAGTAGTGCGTTCACCCGCTCCGTTTGCTCGTCCGTCTGCGGATGAAAGCTCATGGAGAAGTGGAGGTCTGATCCCATGAGCTTGAAGAGTTCCCTCCAAAACTTCCCCGTGAACCTCGGATCCCGATCGCTAATGATGATGCGAGGAAGCCCCCAATATTTCACCACGTGCTTGAAAAATAAGCGGGCTGCTTCCTCTGCCTTGCAATCCCGTGGGGCTGGGATGAAGGTTCCATACTTCGAAAATCGATCAACCACGACCAGTATAGACCCGCACCCTTCAGACTGTGGGAGAGCTGAGATGAAGTCCATGGTGACACACTCCCAAGGGCGTTCTGGGGTTGGCAGGGGCTCCAAGAGGCCCCCAGGTTGCCGCTGCTCGATTTTGTCTTGCTGGCACACTAGGCACGTCCTCACATAGGCCTCAATGTCATCTCGCATCCGTGGCCAATAGTATAAATCTTCCACCAGTGCCATGGTGCGCTTGATCCCTGGGTGTCCAGCCCACCTCGAGTCGTGGCACTCCTTCATCAGCTCCCGTCGTAAATTCTCCCACTTTGGGATATATAGGCGATTGCCCACAGTATATAGAGCACCATCATTGCACCAGAATCGTCGCGTCTTGCCCTCACGAGCCACCTCCATAAGACTCTTGGCGAAGGGATCACGTGCCAGGCCCTCCTTGACACGATCCAATAGGTCACCCTCAGGTCGACTGATGAAGGCGAACGTAGCCTTGCGGCTCAGCGCGTCTGCCACAACGTTAGCCCGCCTAGGCTTGTACTCCATCACATAGTCGAATTCAGCCAAGAAGTCTTGCCATCTTGCTTGCTTGGGCGTGAGCTTCTTCTGCCTCTGGAAGTAGCTCGTAGCTACATTATCGGTCTTGATCACGAACCTGCTCCCAAGCAAGTAATGGCGCCATACCCGCAAGCAATGGACGATGGCGGTCATCTCCTTGTCATGCACCGGGTACCGCCTCTCCGTGTCATTGAGCTTGCGGCTCTCGAACGCTATGGGATGGCCATCTTGCATCAAGACTCCTCCGATTGCCAAGTCCGACGCATCAGTGTGCAACTCGAAAGGCCTCCCATAGTCGGGCAGTGCGAGCACTGGTTCTTGGCTCACCGCTTGCTTCAAGTCCTCAAAGGCTCGTTGGCACTTCGCTGTCCACTCCCACGAGACCTTCTTCTTGAGCAAGTCTGTCAAGGGTGTGGCCCTTGCCGAATACCCCTGGATGAACCGACGATAGTAGTTGACTAGGCCAAGGAATGATCGTAGCTCGGGGATTGAGCTGGGAGGCTCCTACTCCTGGATGGCATGCACCTTGGCCGAGTCCATCGATATCTTCCCATGGCCTACCCGATGGCCTAGGAACATCACCTCCTGTTGTGCAAATGAGCACTTCTCCTGTTTCACGTAGAGCTCATTCTCGCGTAACACTTGGAGAATTTGTCGAAGATGCTGCACATGCTCCTCCAGCGTCTCGCTGTAGACAACAATATCGTCCAAGTATACCACCACGAATTTGTCAAGGAATGGGTGGACGACTTTGTTCATCAAGGTGCAGAAGGTAGCTGGAGCATTTGTGAGGCCGAAAGGCATCACCAGGAACTCGTATGCACCGTAACGCGTCACACAGGTGGTCTTTGCCTCGTCCCCTTCAGCTATTCTCACTTGCCAATACCCCGACCTCAAATCGAGCTTGGTGAACCATCGTGCTCTCCCAAGCTTGTCAAACAGGTCATCAATCAAAGGGATGGGGTATTTGTTCTTCACCGTGATCTTGTTGAGCGCCCGATAGTCGATGCACATGCGGAGGGTCCCATCATGCTTCTTTTAGAACAGCACTGGCGCTCCATAGGGTGCTTTAGAGGGACGGATGAACCCCGCATCCAGTAGCTCCTTTAGTTGCTTCCGGAGTTCCTCCAATTCAGATGGAGCCATGCGGTAGGGACCCATTGCTGGTGGTTTCGAACCAGGCTCCAGCTCAATGGCATGGTCGACCTCCCTCCGTGGTGGAAGTTTCTGTGGCAACTCCGGGGGCATCACATCTTCGAACTCGTGGAGAATGCCTTGAACTTCTTGTGGGACATCAAGAGACGAGGTACTATATTCCTTTAAAGCAGCTAGATAAGTGTCCTCACCTCGTTTGATGCCTCGGGACACTTGTATAGCCGAGTGGATGCGGTCTCCAGCGGGTAGCCGCTCTAGTGGCACGTTGTGACTCTTGCTCCCGTCCTCAAAGCATATGCAGCCATCTTTGGTGAAGGTGAAAGGCAACAGCTGATCGATAAACTCACCACCCAACACCAGCTTGAAGTCGCTCATGGTTATGACGTTCAAGTCAACCTTCCCCGACCATGAGCCTATCTGCACGGGCTCCCCGCGTGCAACGCCACAGATGGGTTGAGAAGGATTGTCGACCACCGTCACCCATCCTGGTTCCTTGTGGTATGGCAGACCCAACTTCTCCGCAAGACTTACTGCAATCAAATTTTGGTTAGCGCCACTATCCAATAGAGCACGGACGCTTACCCCTTTGATCTTGACAGTAACATATTTGAGGGTCTTGCCGACACCCTTTTGGTCTGCCGCGGCACGCGCCTTGGCGTCACCC